TTAACTTTTGTTTTTCAAATTGCTCCGAATATTTTTCTTCCCGTTATTGGATAGAGATTGTTTTTCTAAATCCATTGATGTACAATACATCCATTTTGAACGTAATTTTAGCAGAGAAAACACACCTGTATATACAGGTTGTGACACAAGAACGCCGCAAGCTGTAACTTTGTCATTTACATTCCGATTTTCATGAGCTAGGTATCAAATGAAATGGTTTAATGAATACTATGATTCATGCTACAAATAAACTTTTTCCAACGCCATTTTCAATTTCAAGCGATTATGAACCTTTGATTGTCAAATTGCTCAGTGTCTTTCTTTTTTATTATTATAAATTTTTTTTATTATAAAAGTCAATAATATGTTACGGAACTACACTACTTCACTAACATTTATCTTTGAAATATGTGAAAAACTCGTTTGTTTACAACAGAAATCGTAATTCGGTGATTCCCCAACTAATAAATCTCTCCAGTACACGAAACTGCAACTACAGAGTAATCCTTTTTAGTTTTGTGAACGACGGGAAGATGGCATACTGGGATCAGTTTTACCCCAAGACCTTATATATTACTGATAGGAAAATTTTTCTAAATACGCCAAAGTCAATCTCTTATAGTAACGGAAGAATACATGGAAGGAATGTTAAAAAATGTTAATTGTGTAGCCAAGTTTAGAACAGTGAGGTCATATTGGTGGGATCTCCAAGCTATCGTCTTCTTCGTTACTCGGCCAGCCCTATGAATTCTTCCAAATACTCCGCCGAGTATTCTGCCGTCCTTACCGCCTTCGCGATCAAATTATTATCTCTATCTAAAACCGGTGTTGCACGGGCTTGGAAACCTTTTCCATCCAAGGTCATTTCTTCGATGACCTTTTGTTTCTTGTCAAAGCTTTTTCCTTTTGTTCTTCCCACACTCATTATCAAACCATGGTACTATTCTTTACGGTTCTTTCAATTCTTTCTTCTGCTACTTTCTGAAATTATTCTTTAATCGCTGCCCACTTTTGCTCCACATCATCCCTTTCTCGATTTTTTTCTGAACATCGTATGCTGAGCATCGGGAGTCAACCGAAATGTGATCTATTTGGTTACGCGTTCTTTCATCACGCGAGATCTACGTCGTGTTACGGATATTTTGGAGGAAGTATGTCGAAGATATCATCATGTTCTTGCTAACAGCGAAATCAAGTGTTGTTGGATTCTTCGTGCAGGCTCTCTTCTTCTATATTTGGTCGATATGTCAAATAAAATAGTGCTTCATGTCGCCAAACACGATTTTTACATCGTTTGACGCATTGTGATACGTTGCAACCAGGTTATCTGTTAACTGTTTTTGATTAGAAGATATATTTCTACCATGTTAACCTTTTATTTAAATATAATTTTAGATATTCCACACTATAGAATTTGAAAGTTGGCATATATTCAGTGCCATTAAGGGAATAAGGGAAAGTTATTCTTGTTGTGAAGAAAACATTCACAGATTTGATAGCGTTTACTTATTGTTGATAATATACTCTAGTAAAGAATTATTAACTAATTAATAAACTATCTACTGTACGCAGATTGCCGCCTTTATAGATGTTGTAGCTGCTCCTGGCAAGTATTTTTGTCTTATTGAAATCTATTTTATGCTATTGATCCATTTGGTAATGTTCTGCGAATGCTGACCCTTTGAGCCCTGAGCCTTTTAACTGAGGGAGTTTGTCCTTCGATATCGGCAATTCGTTCTGTAGTTTGTTGGTCCTTTGGATGTCTTTCGACGTGAAACCATTCTTCTGGTGTACGTCTTTTGGAAGTCGTTCTTCATTCTTTCAATATTCTCTGTCGCATAGTATCCTGACTCTGGAAAATAGGGCTAATTAGGGACATTTTCTGTTGTGAGTGGTGGTGTGATAAAAAACTTGTAGGTATCTGTTCGTGTTTGTTTTCTTCCGGTACACTCTGTGTTTGAGTTGTCCATTGTTAGTCCTGGTTACTGACACATCGAGGAATGGTAGCTGTTTGTTCTTTTATTCCTTTATGGTGAATTTTATCATTGGTGTTTACTTGGCTTCAGAAATCCCCAAGTCTTTGTTTACTGTGTTTTAAGATGGCAAAAGTATCTCTACAAGTTCTGGGTCGTATGTCGGTAATCTTTCGGTATGAGCTTTTGTCGAAGACCACGGCATCTTATATTTGAAATGGGACTGTGTCTATCATTAAACAAACTAACCGCAATATAAGCAGAAATTATCCTACTGGAAGTACTTTGAATTTCGAAATGTTCTAATATTTTAGAACATTTTTATGAAAAAAAATTTTGGAAGATTATAAAATACTTTTAGAACCTTCCTTAATAGCGCAAGCTGAAACCACATGCTTCAATATAAAACATTGTAAAAAGACTTACGCAGTAGAAAGGTTGCTTAGTTATCATGATATGACATCCTAATCCTATGCTTTACAGAACATTGGATATAAAATGAATACAAGATTCTTCGATAAATTCTTAATTACACTCAATTTCCAACGATGGAATCACTATTTATACTAAAAAGGCATAAATATTACAAAACATTGGGTTGCCACTAAGCTTGCTTCACTACCAAATCAACTTCCAGAAATTGTAATCTATTTCTGGAAGAATGCCTACCAATATTAAACTTGTGACCAAACATGCTTTTGTGAGTGAATTAATATTGATATCTTAGAGAAGAGCTATCATAAAAGTATTTTACTTGAAACATGCATTATACAATATAACATATTTTTGAAACTTTCACTCTTCCAAAAAATGAATCAACAACATTCCAGCCTGTAATCACCACACACATAGTACCGTCACTGGGACACCAAACTTTTTGAACAACCAAACACTGCGTATTCAATATCTTGCTTTAGGTATAAGTGTTTGATTTTGTCGTCCATAATGTTTTGCTCGTTTTTGTTGTATAGTTGCTTGAGCTGTAGAAATGATTTCGGTGTAATATTAACACACGACAAATAATAATTTTCACGAGCACTTTGCTCAATAAGTCATATATTTGACTTGACTTGAAAAACTACACAAACAACGTGCATACTTTATCACCATGTTATAATGATGTTATAATGTGGGGGTGAACCCCATTGGAATGACTGCAATAAAGCATGTATTTCCAGTGAACAACATCATTCAAAAATACTTTTAGCTATAATTTGAAAATTATGATGTTTAAGCATTGAAAAGAGGCAATAGTACAGGATATAAATGTTTAGGGCTTAAACTTTGCACATACATAGAGCAACTTATTTGAAAAATGTTTAATATGTTCAGTATGTTCTGCAGATATCAATTCTATAATCAAATTCTTTCCACACTTGATGTAACATATCCCTATTAATTTGTTCAAAGGCGTTAATGATGTGAGCTCGCTGTTCTGCCACATGTCCTGCATGTCCAGATGTACATATTATATAGTATATTATAACTTTTAGTTAGTAGGGAATTTTCTGTGTCCCAGACACGCACTATGTGCCTAAATGTGGCTTCAACACTGAAGATTATCTCTGTAGAACCCCTCTTGTTAGTCAACAGCTTAGGTTGAAGGTGTTGACAGGAGAAGGACACTCTTTTGCCGTGGAATTCGGAAAACCAGTTCCGAAGGCGGACGAATTGGAGAATACTGTTAACGGCATAACGATGTATAAGGCAGAGAACAACCATATCAAATGATAATGCTCAGAACTAAATATGTATCGGAAGTAAGTCTTCCAATCGGATCTCTGGGGGGCAGTTATGAATGTTCATAAAAAAGAGACATTCCAACAATAGACTAAAAAGATATGTACCTGGAACGTTACTAGTCTTAACGTTGTAAGGGGAGGAAACGTAGACAACGCTATCTATGAAATGAAGAGCTTGAACATTGATACAATGGGACTAATTATATCCCACAGAGTATTATATCCAGTAAATACAAATATAGTACAATTACACGCTCTCACTGCAGATAGCAATGATGATGAAGTTGAAAGTCTCTACCAAAGTATCGAAGTCATAATACCAAGATTCCCCAATCATGAAATAAATATCCTAATGGGCGACTTTAATGCCAAACTATAATGAGCTAATAATGAACGATAATGAGCTAGTAGTGTTAAACACATTCTATAAATTACCACTAACCAGTCTATACGCATGAAAATTTCCAGCGGATAAACCAGGAAATATAGTGAGAAACTAAATCGATTACATATTAATCAATAGAAGAAGAATCCGGTGGTTGCCTTAGAACTTGATTTGGGAAAACCGCCGCAGAATGGTTTCGAGCTGCCAACAAAATCATATTGCCAACATAATTGTCAACATTCGAATTGGATAGACAAGACAAATATAAATCCATCCTCATCCACACAGTTTTCGAATTTTTGTACAAAACTATCCACTTTGTAGATCGAGATAGAAGCGTGTAGCAATTTCAAGCTGCATGGATTCTGCTTTGCCTTTTCTGTAAAATCTTCTAAGCAGTCGATTATTGAATATACAGCTCTTTATTCGTTTTGCGCATTGTTTTCTTTAGGTTAGGTGTGAAACTCACCTTTCGCAGTCAACCTTGTCTTCACTTTGGCTTTCGGCCCATCTTTCTGGAACCTCGTCTGTATCGTTGTGCTGTTATGATAGATTGATGCGAAGGAAATTCAAGTGCAGTATACCCTTTATCTTACCTTTTGTCATTCATTCTCTCGATAAACTGAACCACGTCTGAGCGACAAAGCAAGATAGAACCTGATAAGATACTTTATGTTTCGGTAAAGATTTGTGATTTTATGTCAAATAATGCAGCTACAATAATATCATGAATTTCTCTAATCATAATCCCATTCAAGTCTTCTAATATTTTTTATTAATCAGTTATCATTGTAGAGTTCTGATGAGGAAAAAGTTAAATAAACCAAATTTTAATAAACAATTTAATAATAAAAAGAAATGAAAGTCTTAAAATAGTTTGACTACATTTTTCACTTGTAGATAATCAAACACCAAGGACTTTAAATAAAAGAGTGTCACAAAATTATCGAATTCATAAAAGAGGGAAATCTTGTTTAATCAATATCGATAATTCCAAAGGAGAAACATCTACATCTAAAGCACAATCACCTACACTCAGCGATGGAGATAGTATAAGGATCGAATTTAAGGATACATCATCAAGTAATTCAGAAAGTAATGAATCAATTCATCGATTAAAAAGAAAATATCAAACAAGACCTCGATCGAGCGCACAAAAAATTCAAATTGGTGATGCTGAAAAAGAAAATTCTTCAAACGATGAAGTTAATCAAAAAAATAAAAAAATTGATGAAGATGAAGAATGGCTCGTAAGCGACTCAAAAGAAGAATCTTCTTCTGCCAGTATTGAAGAAACTTTTACCGATGATCTTGATAAAATGATTTCTACAACGGATGATTTAGAATACTTTGAAAGTGAACAATCTTCATCAAGTCAATTTACGAAAAGAAATTATCGTACAAGATCTCGAATACGAATAAATCATTCTTCTAATCGCACTGATGAAGAATTGAGTGCAAAAAGATCCAAGTTGAAAAAAGATTTTTCTGAAAGCTCCTCAAAAGAAGAGTCTTCATCAAAAGATTCATCATGGGAAGAAATATCTTCAAGCAGTGAAGGGTTTTTAAGTGAAGAGTTTGAAATTAGAAGTGCCAAAGAAATAAGAACAAGAAATACTAAATTAAGTGTTTTGGACGACGAAATTTCATCGAGATATGAGTCTTCGGAATCAGAATTATTAACAGATTCATCTTCTAGTAATCAAAGAGTACTCACCAAAGATAGTGATGAAGCTAAATCATCAAATCAATCTAAGAAAAGAATTTATCGAACAAGGTCTCGTATGATATTACAAAAATCTCAAAATGCTCAAAATAATAATGAAAATTCTTCAAATGATGGCGATAATTTGATGAACTCTAAAGCAATTGATGAAATAAATGAGTTATTAGCAAAAGAATCTTTTGCAAGCTCAACACAATCGGAACTATCAAATAATGGCGAATCTCAAATTTTGATACATTCCAACATAATTCTTTCTACTGCTCAAAGTGCCCAAAAATCAAATCCAAAAACATCCAAATTGGAACAAAGAAATATTGAAAGTGATGAAGATGAGTTTGTTGTAAATGATTCATCAAATGATAATTCTTCAAGTGTGGAATCATCACAAGAGCCTACAACAAGTGATTCAAAAATAGTTAGCACATCATATGACTCTAGTAGATCTAGAAATACAAAGTATCGAACAAGATCTCAATTGGATCCAACCGCTCAAGAAAATTCTTCAAATGAAGAAGACACCCTAAGAAAGTCCACATCTAAAAGAACTAGTGATCATTTACAATCAAAGAAACGAAAGTTTAAAAAGATTTATCTCAGGGATGATGATTCAAATAGTCGAGAAGATTCTCCACCCACAAATGTAAAATGGATTGACACTAGAATAAATAATCAAAAAATTTTTAGTGTTAACGACGATACTGAAAATGCTTCACAACCAAATGAGATTGAGATTAACGTAGAAGTGAATCAATTTGGTCATGTTTTAGATGATGATAAAATTGCAACATTAGAAAGTGATGATGATGTAATTGAGGTTGCTTTATCACCTGAAAAAATTGTGATATTATCAGATTCAAATTCAAATTTGTCAGATTGTTCAACGGAACTTTTGGATAATATATCTATCCTAAGAGAATTTGAAACGGATACTCCATCTCCGCCTTTAATTACCGAGGTTCAGTGATTGGTTGAAATGAATAATTAAAATGTTTATTATTTTTATTACTTTAGGAAAATGTTAAATAGTGGGTGAAAAAAGTGTAAAATTTAAGTAGTTTAAAAATAATTAAAAATTTATTTGTTGATTGAAATAATTAAAAACTTTACTATTACATAAGAATGAATACATTTTGTTATTACATTGAATCTTCTTTTTCTGAGTCAATTTTGATTTTTACTGATTTTTTAGTAACATCAGTAGCTGTTGAAGCAATTTGGGAAGAGTCCGTCCCAATAATCGTGGATTTTGTATAATCACCCATCAGTCCATCATCGTAAAATTCTTCTTCTTCACCTAGAAGATAACTTCTCAATTCCATACCGCTTTCCAAACTAAAGCTGCTTCCCGATACCAAATTTAAATCTGAATCCAACCAAATATTTTTACGAAGATCTTTCCAACTTAATAATTTTTGAAGATATTTCCATCCGCTTGCCCCTTTTCCACCGGCTTTTACGATACATTTGATATACTTGGGCATTACTTCTTGTCCGGCCGAAACTGCAGCAAAATTTTTCACTTGTTCTTGATTACTAATATCATTAATTTCGTGGAAAGCATCGATTGCTTTTAAAAGTAAAGGGGTAGCCAAATTTGGATTTCCGTGATTTAAATAATATTCTCCCATATATCTATAAGCCTGTCCTACGTAATAAGGGAAATCATTTTCTAATGCAAAATCTAAGAGTATTTGTAAATGAGCGTATGAATCTTCCCAATGTCCCAATTTTAAATAAGCTCGAATTAACCATATTCTCGCTTCGCAACTTCCCTCGTAATTTTTCGCTTTCATATCCATTGCTAATACTTTTTGGAAACATCGAACTGCCTCAGGTATTTCATTTATTAACATATGGCAATTTCCTTGTAATAGTAAGGCATGAGCTTCTCCTTCATGCATACAAGCTAAATGAAAAAAAAACATGTTAGAGCTTTAATTTCAGAAAAAAGATTTTATTTATGTTTAATAGAGTTTAAATTAAACTTGAAGGTGATTGGAATGCTACTTGGAGTACGCCTGTATCCCAGTATAATGTAGTAGACCCGTTAATAAAAATATGTGTAACATTCCAAGGTTAAAAGTGAATAAGTAATTTAAGGTAAGTATATTCTGTTCATCGAACAGATGCAGGGAACCTGAGCGAAGCCACGCCTAAAAAAACAAAAAAAAATACATACATACAAAGAAAGAAAATAAACGTAAACGACAAGGAAAAGAATAATAAAGAGCTTAAGAAAATATATAAGAAAAGCTGTTCTTGGTTGATCTTTGTAAACCGGGCTTACCAATAGAAAAATTCTATTCAAATTTTGCGCGTATTTGTGGGAGGAGCTGTAATTTCAAATCGCTGCATCTGTTCGATGAACGAACTATAGTAAGTATTAAAAATAAGTTTCTTAATCGACATTTATAGTTTGTTAGGATAGAATCAAGTTTGTCAATAGAACGGCTTAGGATACAAATATGTAACAAAGACCCAGTGGCGCGCCGTGGTAAACGATCGCCGGGGTGCGAACTCATTTTTGGCGCCCCAAACTCGTATTGAAATAAGATACAAACATTGGAACAACAAGTAATTTATAAAATATATTTTTTATACTAATTTATTACAATTTACAAAATATTTATAAAAAATTAATTTTTAATAATTTTTTCTTGTAAGTACGAAGGCTTTCACGGCCGGTGTGAATTAAACTAAAATTAGAACTAAAACTAGAACCAACACTAGAAACTTTCGGGTTTTGCCGTGCGTCTTTTAATAAAAGGTTTGACGTTTCGGATGCCATGTTGCAACCTTCTTCAGAAACAGGGTTCGAAGTGTTAGCTATAACTGGCGATAGTGGAGACCCCATGACTGCCCCTTCGAACTGCTCGTAAAATTCTCCTTTCCAGCTGAAATACGTCGACGATAAGCAATACTCCACCAGATCTGGCATGTATTCTGGTAAACCCTCCGGAATGAATTTTCGGCGAAGACCCTCTACAGCATCCTTAACTGGTACCCTAGTAAAAAGGGATTCCACATCGAAACTTACCAACATATCCCCAGCATCCAGCTTTACACCTTTTACCGATTCCACAAAATGTGTAGAATCGCTGACATACGATTCCGTGTTACCTGTAAAGGGAGACAGAATCTTTGCAAGATGTTTGGCCAGCTGGTATGTTGGGGAGTTGATGGCGCTGACGATAGGGCGGAGGGGGACGTCTGGTTTGTGAATCTTCGGTAGTCCGTAGATTCTTGGTGGTACCGTCGCCTGCACAAACAAACCTTTCTGCTGTTCTGCTGGAATTCCTGTGGATTTTATCAGTTCCTTCATTTTTCTTACGATTTTGTCTGTGGGTTCTTGATCTTCCTGTAGGTGGCTGGGTGCAGTAGGTTCAACATTTTGTCGTCGTATTCTTTCCTGTCCATAACAACAGTGGCATTCCCCTTGTCTGCTGGTAACACGACGATTTCTGACTTTTCTTTTATAGATCGGAGTGCCTTCTTTTCACCAACCGTCAAGTTGGATTTTGGTGGTTTTGCTGACTTCAATACTCTCGCAACTTCTTGTCGGATCTCTTCGGCTTTCAGTGCAGGCATCCCTCGAACAGCTGCTTCCACTTCGCAGATGATTTCCTCCTTTGGGACCTTCTTCGGGGCGATTGCGTAGTTCAATCCTTTGGCGAGCACAGAGGTTTCGTCTTTCGTTAGTGGGACATTCGATCTGTTAATGACGATTGTTTCTACTGGTAAACTATTACCTTTCTTCTTTTGCGACCGGCGTTCCAGAGATTCAAACTTCTTGATGTGTGTGTCACGGGTCTTCTGAAATTCGCGATTAGCCTTCTCCATTGTTAGTCTGTCCACTTTGTCCCAGTCTTCTCCGGATATACAATTGGAAAGTGAGAGGTGGAGTCGTAGTAACTTCTCACTTATTTTTTGTAGATCATTGAAGGTCTTGTGGATTCTTTCTCGTAGCAGTGCTTGTTCTGTCCTAATCAAAATTCTACGTGCTGCAGCGGAGTCGATGTGGTGCTTCACCTTCAAGAAGGTTGGCGTTACTTTCTTCTCTCTGCATCTTCGTAGAAAGGCCAAACTGCTCAACAGCTTGCGTTGTCTAATTCGTGAGTTATCCAAATCCTTGATTTGTTTGTTGATATCCTCCCCATAAAGGTTAATAATATAAGTACGAAGGCTTTCACTTCGAACCCTGTTTCTGAAGAAGGTTACAACATGGCATCCGAAACGTCAAACCTTTTATTAAAAGACGCACGGCAAAACCCGAAAGTTTCTAGTGTTTGTTATTATTATTATTACTTATTAAAGACAAATTGTTAAGTCTCTCTGGACTCATATTTGCTCTTAAATAGGTTTTTATTATTTTAAGTTTTGAAAATGATCTCTCTCCTGATGCAACACTAACAGGTAATGTTAGGTATATTCTAAGTGCTATAGTAATATTAGGAAGCATATTGAATAAATCATTAGTAAAAATATAATGTAAGACATTTATTGCATTCATATTAGGTTTCAAATACGTTGTTAAAATTTCTATTTCATCATATAAATCTTTTCCACATATATCAGAATTGTTACTACTATTTTTCAATTTTTCTTCCAAGTTTGTGTACTTGATTGATACTTAATTTTTGTTTCCTTACTTTCCATTTTTAAGCTATAAATGTCATTTAAAAACTGAAAATTTTGATTGATAGATTTTAAAAGATCGAATCTCTCCTGTATTTTTGATGTTGCAATATCTATTATTGTAAAATAGAAATTAATTTTAAAATTTAATTCTGGGTCTTGAATAGTTTCATCTGTATCTTCATAATCAAATGATTTTTTTTCTTGCGTGGTCGTATTGTGTTCGTATCTGGAAACTTACAATCGCAATCTATTTCTTTTGCTATTAACTCTGGTTCTTTTAAAATGGTGGCAAATATTTTGTCTGTACGACATTCGATTAAATATGACTCTAGATCAGACAGCATAGTAATAATTAATAATAGTGGATATTATTGCATGTTCTTCTTGCATTAGTTTGCTTACAATATTAATTTTAGTTAATATATTGTACCATATAAGCGTCGAGCATATAAATTTGAACGATTTTATTTTCGTAAGTAAAGATTTTGCTGTGTTTCTAGTAGAAGCATTTGTTGTAGAGTCACTGTATAACTCATATAAAGCGTCATACACCGATGGTAAATTATATTTAAAAACTTTGACAGCTTCAACCCTACTTTCCCATCTAGTATCTAAAAGTGGTTTTAATGTCAACGTTGGGCATTTATTTTTAAATACATGCCACCGATGTGGCGAAGCAGAAAAAAACACATAAATTTCTTAAATTAAATCAAAGAAGCTGGAAATTTCTAATGAGGAATTTGCGGCGTCGTTAACAATTAAATTTAAAGTATGAGAGGAACATGGGATATAAAACGCTCTCGAGTTTATATCTAAAATTTTTTTTTGAAGACCATTGTGTTTTCCTCTCATATTGGCCCCATTGTCGTACCCTTGACCTCGCATATCTTGAATATCTATATTTTGTTTATCTAAATAGTCTAATAAGAAATTTGTTAAACCATCACCAGTAGTATTTGTTATAGGACAGAATCCCAAAAAGTGTTCTTTTATTTCAACTGTAATTAATGCTTTATTCATGTGCACAAAACGTACGATAATTGTTATCTGTTCTTGATGGTTTATGTCCGGTGTACAGTCTAATATGATTGAATAGTATTTACATAGACGCAAACTATTAATAATTTTATTTTTTACATTTTGTCCTATTATATCTATAATTTCATTTTGTATTTTGTCACCTAGATAATGGGGCATGTATTCTTCATTTTTTATAATTCCATTCAAGTGTTCTGCCATAACACTGTCAAACTGGGCGACTGCTTCGACCATTTTTAAAAAGTCTCCATTATTGTTTTCAAATAATCTGTTATTATGTCCTCTTAAAGCTAAATTTTGTCCAGCTACGAATTGAATGATGATTATAAAGTTCAATCACTTGTTTCCACCGTTTCTTTTCTAGGAATATTAAATTTTCATTAAGTTGATCAACCGTTTGCTTTTTTGTCATCGCCGTTCCAAATTTCTAGATAAATGTTGCCAATCGCTGTAGCCTTGAGAAGTATTAAATGCGTTGCTGTTGTTAACAAATATTTTGCAACAGAAACAATAAACTGAATTTTTTGTTTTAGAATACACTAACCAGCTTCTGTGAATCGTTTCATTATTATTTGAAAGTTGGTAAAAATATTTTGTTGAAAACGATCTATCTTAAACGATCGATTCTTATCTGGTGGAAACGCACAATTTTTAATTTGAATAGGTCCAATTTCTCTTAGTGTCATTCTTATTGGGTCCGTAATCAATTCAGGCCACATACCTGGATCGTCCAAAGAAATGTCACAATTTTCATTTTTTGTAATTAAGATATCTTCGGCTGAATTTCTTACAGGTTCGTTTGAAATTTTCACGTCGGATTCTTCTTCCTCTGTTATATTTGTGCCAATGTTTGATATTTCAGTGGTAGGATCTTCTGTTGTGCCACATTTGCTAGTTGAAGGAGCAACATCAAAGAACGAAGTAATTTTTTTTAAGGTGTTTTCTATTCTTTCTTCTCGTTCTAATTTTCTTTTTCTAAATGCAGCTCCCGATAATTTTTTCTTTCCCTCCGACATCTATTTAAGTATTATTGTATAATTATCTTAATTGTATAATTTTATTATTTAATTGTATAGTATTAAGTATAAGAAACTTAGAATGGGGTAATTTATAGACTTTATAGTACTGAGGATGTCAGTGAAGTGCACAGCAGCTTATTAAAAAAAATGTTATTACTCAAACAACAAGTTCAAGTGCGGTTATTATAAACATTTCGAAAAAAATTTATTAGAATGATCGCTTTAGAATAATGTATCCTACAACCGTATAATGCTCTGATGCGGAAGATACCGGACACACTGTATGAAAACAGAGTGGAAGAATCAATATTTTGACCTCAACCTAACAGATTAGCATCATTTCGGGAACAAAAACCTTATAGAGATAGCGTTTTTGGTGATAGATATGGTTTCCTATTTAACAGAATAATATATTATTTAATTAAACTCTAAATCTATGTTACCATTCGTAGATAGAAAAATTTAATATTTTACCATCATATGCTCTTCTTTTGGCTTTTATACATATTTTAATAGCTCCTTTAGCGTCGTATCTCATCATTTCCATGGCATCGTCCAATAAAAGTTTATATAAAAGTATACAACTTTCCACAAAAACTGTTTTTTGAGCATATAACAGATATTTAGCTGCCGTCCAAGATTGTCCTATAGAAAGAATTCGAGCATTTCGTAAATGAATCGTTGCTTGTACTCTATCTTGCACTATAATAAAATAATTTATAATCTCTAATTTATAAATAGCTGAAATCTTACTTTTTTCATATTTAAATTTTCCATAGATATACTCTGATATAGCATATCTTCTAAAACCGTCTCCTTCATAATCCTTCGCTATATCATTACATTGTAAAAGTAATTGTTCTCCTAACCACCACCAGTTATCGTTACGTACACGAAAAGTGTAAAGTACGCCTAAATGAAGAAATTCGTCTAATTCGACATTAAATTCGTCTAAAAAAATATCTTGTTATTCTAACGATTACATTAAAAACAAACGAGAAATACTGTTTTTATGTGCCGTTTCTGCTGCCTTAAAACAATTCGACAAATTTGTTAAAACGTCACTTCGGTCGATAATCCTCGGTTTCGACCAAACTTTCGATTCTGGACCATTACTTCTTCGCATCTCTTCTTGATAGTTAATTAATTGTCGTAAAAAACTTGCGGCATTCGTTAATTGTAACTCGTCCATTTCGATTTCGATGGCTTCGTGCAAAGGCATTCGATATCTTCGTATTTCATTCATTGTATAAACGGGAAGATTCTCTCTCATTCTTTGTTTAATTTCAGCCTTTTCGGCTTTTCGAAGCTGCTCTCGTTTTATCGGCGACATCATCATTTTTTCCATTTTCTCTGGATCATATTGATCTAGAAGTGAATCTCCAGAATCCTCAAATTTTGATTTTCGTATCAGTGGTGGTGGTTCTTGTAAACTTGATACTGATTGTTCCGGTGTCTTCATTTTAATATTTTCCGTTTTTATTTTTTTTTGATTTAGTTGATAGTAATGAAGTGTGTAATATGAGTTTTAGACATTGTCAGTTTTAATTGAGTATTTATTGACAATTGGTTAATATTGTACAGAGTGAGATCAAAAAAATTTGAATAATTGGTATAACGTGAATTGGTATATTCCTGACCATAGTATTCTCTAATCTCAACTAAAGTTAAATGTTATAGTTTCAGATAAGAAACCAAACTTCTCTGCTGCCTCCTCTGGGCTAAACCACCATTTTTCTCAATTCTCATCAATCTCATCCACTTGTGCCTCACCTCGGTATGGATAAGTTTGCATGTAATGCCTCTAATTTTTAGTTCATACTACACTTAACCGACAAACTTATCAATCTCAAATTGACTACCCATCTCAAAAGAATTGACAAATTCTTCACAAATTGAAACAACAAATTTATGATAAACACTCAATTTAGCCGCCATTACACAAAAATTATTGTCAGGCCATAAAGAATTTGCTGCTTTCTAAATGCGTTGTAGTTGTCTCATGTTCAAAAAAACAGCATTACCAAAAGTTATAAAAAAAAATACCCGAATTTCAAATACGTAAAGTAAAATCGCAATGAGTAGAAAACTTAATGTATTTTTAAGAGTTAGAAAAGCTTATATTGTATTTGGATCGCTTATGTCTAATGAAAATGTCAGTTTAATTCAAAAGAGTGGGTATGTGTTCAGATGAAGTGTCATTTTCAATTACATCGTTTTCGGCCTGGCTTTTGGGGTGGTCTGTATTTGGTTTGCATTATTTAGATTGGCTCTAATTTGGATATGAAAGACATTAGACAGGGTTTGTTTGGAATGCGATTGGCTTGGGAATGGGAGAGCTGAACTTCACTTAGATTGTTAGGTTCGGTAAGCTGATTTTGGGTGTGGATAGGTTGGGTTTGGTTTTGGCTGTGAATAAGTTAGGTTTAGTTTAGTTCTAGATGATATGGGTTCAGACTTGGATTCACTTGGCTTAAGTTTGGTTTCGGTATGACTAGATTGGGACATGTATTATTGTTAACACAAGTCCACAAAACTTGTATGTTAGTTTGAAAGTCTGTCAACTAAAGCCAACAAATAAAAGAATGCAAAAAAGACAGAATTATATAGTATGAAATAGGTAAAACAGGATGAAGGTGGAAACATTTTATAGTAGAGCAAAGTAAAAGGATAGCATATATTATAAACATAAAGCAAAAATTGAACAGAACAAAGCTAGATATACATAAAAAACTTACTAGCAATTAGAGAAGAAGTGGCAGAAAAAAGGCAGAATACAGATCTACTTTCACACAGAAATTTGACGGAAGTAACACAAAAAGTTACTAACTGTTATTAAAAATACTTTTCCTGGAAAACATTAAATTTAGCATCCTGATAATGTATGAGACTGATGCCAACAATATAATCGTACATCCTACCCACATTGACGTTAAAGATAGCTTCGTTGAAAGATATCGTATAAAGTTGATAAGTTGAAAATGGTTATTGTTTAAGCAAGTCCTAACTGCTCGATGAACGCAGATAAGGCTTGCTTATAAAATTTAGAAGTAAGGTAACTGCTTATGAAACTTTGTGTAACTGTTTTATAAGTAACGCAAGTTTCGTACGAATATAATTGGGCTTTAGCAGAGAAAACCAATTACAAATAATCTGAATATACTGATATTTGCCAATAATCTCCTTCATCTCGTCTACAAGATTCCCCAACGTCCCTCTATATAATTCCTAACATCTCCCAACACTATCTTGTAACATGGTCTCTAATATCCTCGAATGACATTCGAATCCTGTCTACTACATCTCTAATCCCTAAGGTTTGATTTATATCGGCCAGTACTTTTACTGCGACCATACTTTTGCTGGTTATTTTCTTTTATTATGTCATACATGTTTCGGTTTACGCTATCATCAGAGACACTACAATAAATCAATTATTAAATGTAATTAATTTGACAGAAATATCATTAAAAAGCGAAAAAATATGTTTCTTACTTACTTATAAATTGTTAAAATTTATGCTATCAAAATATACCGGGTGATTCAGACCACCCGTACCAGGGATTGCAATAAGGGATTGCAATGTGGGAGAAGTTGCAATAAAAAATATGATAATAAAATCGTATATGAAAATTTCAATGCACCAGTTTTATTATGCTGGTAACACCGGAAGTTGGTGGTAATGACATCAAGTTAAAAATTTTCCATATGTCATATGAATGAAGTTTTATCGTAGAATACATAGGTGTTTCATCATTGTTGTTATTGTTTGTTCAGATAGTTCTTTAATTAATTACTTCAGCATTTTTTATAATACATGTTTAGTTCTCATTACTGTAATGATCAATAGCACTTAAACGTTGCATTAAATCTAAGAAGAGTTAAAGCAAAAGTTGTTTATTTTTAAACAATCCATTCTATGATAAAACTTAATTCATATGACAACTTGGAAAATTTTTAAGTTGATGTCATTACCACCAACTTCCGGTGTTATCACCGTGATAAAAACTGGTGCATTGGATTCTACATATACGATTTTATTATTGCATATTGCATTATATGCATATTGTTGCATATTTTTTATTGCAACTTCTTAGGTAATCCCGTTTTTGAGAAAAATCCCTGGTACGGGTGGTCTGAATCACCCGGTATATGGATTCGGTAAGATTATTCGAACAAAACTGAGTATCCCTTTATTACACAAACAAGACTTTTTAAAAATACACGTTAAAAATAATAAGTTGAAACTGTTATAGATTAATAATAGTTAGAGATCTCTCATCCACGCTCACAAATGAATTGAAGAGATGTTTTTGGTGACGTAAACAAACAGAAAACCTGATTTATTTTGAGTTAAAATAAACTTTGGAAAATAACTGTATTTTTGGAGTTAAATAATAAGGTTAATGTGGAGAGGAGAGGGTAGAAGGGACGGGGATGTCATTAGAATCACAAGACGTAGGTAGAACGAGAGGCTCTTAATAATAGCCTGGCCTTACTCAATATATTCTCCATCATCTATACGCGACATGCTTGATCATCATGCCTAATATCTCTCAATATCGTTACTCATATTGTTCAACATCTTTGCTGTTTTCTTTCAACGCAAAAATGTCATAGATGAAAACAGCCCTCAATACTATTCTGTCCACTCTCAGCATCTCACTCAATATCTATCAGTATGATATCGTTAAACGTTATCCCTGACATCTCGTCTGTCATTCTAAATTCTAACATACTCGCCATAGAAACTTATACTCTGTTCTGTTCTGCGTTCTGTTGGTGAGGAAGCTTTTGAATGCTGGAAACCACGATGTACCAGCTTCTATAGGATTATGTTTTGCTGCACTGCGTCAAATGCCTCATTATGATCGCAACATGTATAATGTTCAAGCTTCTTCCCCTTTATCAAAATCGTTGGATATGGTTTTAATTACTTCTATCTGTGCAGTTATTATTAATTTTTGTTATTAAATATTGGTATGTTAAGATGATGAAAAAAGGTGATTTTTCTCATAATATTGGTCCGAAAAGTTTCGAAAGTGTGAGTACTTTAAAGGTAGGTCTGCAATTATTTGGGTCATTATGGTTTTTTGCCTTAAGATTCAGTATAATTTTTGTAAAGTTCGTCAAGATATTTGTTTGTTATTCTTGAGAGTGAAATAGCAACACTTTCCATGTTCTTCAACATCAGTTTGACCACTCATATACATCCAAACCGGTTTTTAATTTAAGGTATTGTGAACAGATACAGCACTTGACACTTGCCTTCAAAAGGCTTGACAAATTTTGTACAATGTTGAATAACACTAATCAAACATTCTAAAATAATAATTAAAATCTTTTGGTGTTTAACCTGTTTATGAACAGTTTTATAATTATTTTCATTTAATTTGTAATGAATCACCGCGAATTAATAACCTTTGTTTTATGTTCACTGGTTTTCTAAAAAAGCTGAATTAAAGACATTGTGAGGTATAATTAAAGACTGTTCCAGTTAACCTCGGTTTCTGAATCTTAAATTTGGAAACTCTTTATAGCAGCAACGTCGATCGCCAAGAAAATCATGAATCTGAAATATCTAATATCTGGGCGTCAGAGCAAAAAAAAGGAAGATTACTTTAAACTCTTCGGTCGATCTTGGTAAAACATTTATATAAAAAGTCCATTTTGATCAAAAGTTAGTTTACACTACTGCTCTAAATCGATTAAACAACAAAATTGTTGATTTTCGAAAATTAACTCAATCATAACTCATAAACTAAAAGCGATGGGGAAATATGTTTTATACATAAAACGTTAGTAATGGGCGATAAAGACTAGATCCATAAAAAGATTGAACTCAATTATTACCATTTTTTATTTATAAGCTCTAAATCAGTGATGACCATAACGTCGATTGCCAAAAAAATCATGAATCTGAAATATCTATATCTCAGATCTCAGACCTCAGAGCAAAAAAAGGAAGGTTACTTTAAACCCTTCGGTCGATCTTGGCAAGACATTTATATAAAAAGTCGATCTTGATCAAAAATTAGTGGACAACACTGCTTTATAGATTTAAACCTCTTATTATTTGAATTTGTTTAATTTTTCGTAACAAACTTTATTTTCGATTTCTTTTTGAAATATAAATAAAAATACGCAGTTGAGATTAAAAAAATATAACAGGAATTATAGAAAATAAAAAAATATTTATGGTACATTAAATCTCTTAAATTATCTTTAAAATGTTCGTAGATTCAAAATGATGTCTCAATCTGTTCTTAAGATAAGATTTTTTAAATTCCTAATCTTAAAACTATAGTAATCTAACATGAAGAATTAAAGTTCAAAAATATTAACATTGATCTTTATGGAAAATTGCATTAAAAAAAATCTTCATTAAATTTGCTTTATGTTCTTTACTTCATCATGATATCTCAACTAGTTGTTAAGATACGATGTTCTAAATTTCTATTTTTTAAATAATATAAATATAGATGCAGAGTTGAGTTTAAAAATTCATAGAAACTATATTTTTATTTATATAAATCAAGAAATTATTTATCTCTATTATCTTTAAAATGTTAGTAGTTTTATCATGATGTCCCAATTTGTTCTTAAGATATGATTATTTAAACTTAATATCCAATTTTGAAGTTTTTTTAAGAAATAAAAGAAAATAAATTAAAGTTTAGGTGCGGATTTTATTCACATTTTTTAAAGTATTATAAAAAATTGATTACTTCAAATACATAAAAAAACTGTGAACAATTTTAACAATAATACAAAATTATTAAAAATAAAGAAAACATACATTTCTAAACAAACACTCGAACTTATTCACTAAAGAGCAAAATAAATATCAATTTTTCTTTCTTTAATCGAAAATTAACTGGAACCATTAACCATTTCTTCTTTCTGCTCCTTTTCATTCCCTTCAGATCCCTGTTGAGCTTCTTTTTTATGAATGATTTTTTCAACTTGTTGAACCCCATAATCTCGAATAGCACATGCTCTTTCAACGGCGGGCTCAACTAAATGTTTAGCCGTTTCAACAGCAGGTTCCACAAACTGTTTAGCCGTTTCAATCGCTGGTTCCACGTAATGTTTAGCAGTTACAACAGCTGGTTCTACGTAATGTTTTGCGGATTCCACGGCAGGTTCCACGTAATGTTTGGCTTCTTCGACTGCATGAGTCATCTTTTCTTTAGCACCAGTGTACATCTAAAGAATTTAATTTAATAACAGATAAGGTTTAAAAGCTGCTTTAAAATGTAATTTGTGTTTAAATTTTGTAATTTAAACTTTTTGTAACTTACCTCACCCGGTGGTAATTTAATAGCCGGTAATTTCTCTTCCACGTAATCTAATCCAGTACAGAGAATCCCGTCAACTTTCTTTATCGGCTGTTGGAGGTGCGATACCATTGGCGTCGCTAAAGAACTGGTAAGTTCTGCTGCCTTATGGACAGTACCTTCTGCAGTCGACAAAGTCCACTGGGTTAAACTGTTGTAATCCTTAAAAAATAAAAATTAAATTGTTTTAAAAATTTTTTAAATATTTTAAATTCGTGCAACAACAGCAACAAATTTTTAGCCTTGTTTTTCCACATATTTTACAAGCCGATATTTTTGTTCGGAACAGAATTTAAAAAAAGGATTATCAATTTGAAACGAACACACTTTGAGCTATCTAAATCCGGGATTTGTCCGGTCAATACTTATCGGCGTCGGCTAAAAAACACACTTAAAACATAACCCTACATATAGAATCGGTAGATTGACCTTTCTCAATACAACTTTTTTGTTTGATAGGTATAAAAAACTAAAGCAGCATCGACCATATAGGAAATTTTCTGCTCTTTCAGTCGGTACATAACAAAAATCAAAAACGAGATTACTTTTTGTAAAACAGCCTTACCGGCGTTTAGAGCGCATTAAAACAGTTTCGAGAAAATAACTTTCTTCTTTCTACAAACAAAACTCAGAGACCATGTAGAATCTATAGGAAATTTTCTGCTCTATTCATTGGTATATCACTTTAACAGATCGTATGGTTGCACAAAGATTTTCCTCCCTAAAAACCGCGTTTAATTACCGACTATAAATGTTTATGGCGTCATAATTAGGGTTCGGAATAACGGAATCCCGGTAATACCGATACCGGGATCCCGACCGATTTTTGTCAAATTTTAATACCGGTATTTTTTCCACAATACCGGTATTTTTCGGTATTTTCGTATTTTTATAAATTTTTATTTTCCGTAAAATTAATGATGCAATATCATCACTAACACCTGCCAAATTAGCAGTGGAGGCTCTATGTCGAAGAGATGCAAACC